GACGTTAACTAATAGAACAACATGACGTTAACTAATAGAAACAACATGACGTTAACCAATAGAACAACATGACTTTAACCCATAGAACAACATGACGTTAACTAATAGAACAACAGGACGTTAACTAATAGAACAACAGGACGTTAACTAATAGAACAACATGACGTTAACTAATAGAAACAACATGACGTTAACTAATAGAACAACATGACGTTAACTAATAGAAACAACATGACGTTAACTAATAGAAACAACATGACGTTAACTAATAGAACAACATGACGTTAACTAATAGAAACAACATGACGTTAACCAATAGAACAACATGACTTTAACCCATAGAACAACATGACGTTAACTAATAGAACAACAGGACGTTAACTAATAGAACAACAGGACGTTAACTAATAGAACAACATGACGTTAACTAATAGAAACAACATGACGTTAACTAATAGAACAACATGACGTTAACTAATAGAAACAACATGACGTTAACTAATAGAACAACATGACGTTAACTAATAGAACAACAGGACGTTAACTCATAGAACAACATGACGTTAACTCATAGAACAACATGACGTTAACTAATAGAACAACATGACGTTAACTAATAGAACAACATGACGTTAACTCAATAGAACAACATGACGTTAACTAATAGAACAACATGACGTCAACTAATAGAACAACATGACGTTAACTAATAGAACAACATGACGTTAACTCATAGAACAACATGACGTTAACCCACAGAACAACATGACGTTAACTCATAGAAAAACATGACGTTAACTAATAGAACAACATGACGTTAACTCATAGAACAACATGACGTTAACTAATAGAAAACATGACGTTAACTAATAGAACAACATGACGTTAACTAATAGAACAACATGACGTTAACTAATAGAACAACATGACGTTAACTCACAGAACAACATGACGTTAACGCATAGAACAACATAACGTTAACCCGTAGAACAACATGACTTTAATCCATAGAACAACATGACGATAACCCATAGAACAACATGACATTAACCCATAGAACAACATGACGTTAACCCATAGAACAACATGACTTTAACCCATAGAACAACATGACGATAACCCATAGAACAAAATGACGATAACTGATAGAACAACATGAAGTTAACGCATAGAACAACATAACGTTAACCCGTAGAACAACACGACGTTAACTCATAGAACAGCATGAGGTCAACTCATAGAAAAACATGACTTTAACCCATAGAACAACATGACGTTAACCCATAGAAAACATGACTTTAATCCATAGAACAACATGACGTTAACTCGTAGAACAGCATGACGTTAAATCATAGAACAACATGACGTTAACCCATAGAACAAACTGACGTTAACCCACAGAACAACATGAATATAACTCATACAACAACATGACGATAACCCGTAGAACAACATGACGTTAACTCGTAGAACAACATAACGTTAAATCATAGAACAGCATGACGCTTATTCACAGAACAGCAGCATGACGCTACCTCACAGAACAGCATGACGCTAACTCACAGAACAGCATGACGCTAAGTCATAGAACCAGATGGTTTTAACTCAAGTATATTTAATATATAAAAAAAAAAATATAAAATAAATAAAATATCATATCTTTATATTTTCAAACATTTACTGCCTCCAATATCTTGCATACATATATCAAAATAAATGCACATAATACCACGTCTTTTGAAAATTGTCATTGAAAGCTTCCGATGAATAAATAAGTTCGAACGTAACTTGTTAATGTTTTTATTATCTTATTTCACCCTCATCATGAAGCTTCGTCTCCATCCTCGTTTTCACGACGGAAAATCCTGGCCAGGATGATGCTGGTGCACAACAGTATAACCAGAACGACAATCCCGCCACCTACGTAAATGTATACAAAGTCAGAGGAAATATCTCCTCCAGTTTTAGAATTTCCCGATGCAACGGACGATGAATTTATGCTCATGTTAACGAAGACGCTATGGTACGTCAAAAAAATACTTTCTGAGTTTTCCGTTTTAAATATATGACTCTGAGTCCGTTTGTACTCTGTTGTAAATGTAGGCATAATGTTATTGATGGAGTTTCTGGAGATAGAATCGTATGAGGGGCTGCTAACAAACGATAATGGCAGAGAATAGGAAATAGAATCATCCGAAGAGCTGCTAACAGACGATAATGGCAGAGAATAGGAAATAGAATCGTCCGAAGAACTGCTAACAGACGATAATGGCGGAGAATAGGAAATAGAATCGTCCGAAGAGCTGCTAACAGACGATAATGGCAGAGAATAGGAAATAGAATCGTCCGAAGAGCTGCTAACAGACGATAATGGCGGAGAATAGGAAATAGAATGTTGTAATGAAAACGGCATCGTAGATGTTGGCGTAATGGACCAGAAAGATGATGCATTCATTGGAGACAACACGAATGATAAAGTTGTAGTTGAAGAGTCTAAAAATGCATCCGATGAGGGAATCAGTAAGGATAGGAGCAGCGGTGTTAACGGTGGCGAGGGCGTAGATGACGTCATAGTGTCCAGAGAGCTAACGGCATCAAAGACAGGTATTGCGCGAGTGGAGGGGAACGTATTGTCGATGGCCGAACTAACGAGACCATCGTAGTGAATGTCGGTGATTGATACGTCGCTGGAGATGACCGAACTAACGAGACCATCGTAGTGAATGTCGGTGATTGATACGTCGCTGGAGATGACCGAACTAACGAGACCATCGTAGTGAATGTCGGTGATTGATACGTCGCTGGAGATGACCGAACTAACGAGACCGTCGTAGTGAAAGTCGGTGATTGATACGTCGCTGGAGAGAGGAGTTGATGGCAGGACGTTTGATGGCGTTAACTGTATTTCTGCAGCTACTATGGAAAGTACAGAAGTCTGATCATCAACACGACGTGTGGTGGTCGCCTGAAGCTGAATTCCCGATTGACTTGAGATTCCAAAGATGAGGATACTTTCTTCTATAATTTCACTGGTCGACTGTCCGTCGTTTAGTTTGTAAAACGCTGAAGACGACGACGCACTAGACTCGGAAGTGCCAGGATGAAATGATGGCGTTCCAGCGAGTGAGGAAGACATATCGGGCAGTGTACCCGAAGGGTAAATAAAATCATCTGAAGACGTGTTGTGAACCCCTGACAGTGGTATCGAATACGATGCGACATTTGAGTTTGTTGTATCGAATTGTCGAGTCAACGATGGTTCTGAAGGATGGCTCGATTCCTGGATAGATGAAGAAGGCCGGAGCAAATAGTTGTCATCAACGGAAGTCTGACTGTTGACATTCTTTAACTGAACAACCGTTTCTCTCTCTGGTGGTGTTGATACTTCAAGTACGGGTTCGTGGGTCACACTCTTCGTGCGATCTGTTGGTTTTAGACAAAGTGGATATAAAAAAAAATCTGCAAAATAATCTTCAAAATGTCTTAAAAAACTACAAGAATGTTTAAAATTTTCAAGATTAATGGTATTTTAAAATAAATAAAAATTAGCAATTAATCGTTCGCTTCGAATCAGTCCGGCAGTTTATGAAGACTCTCAAATGTTAGACTCAAGGGTCACAAGTACAGGATTATAGTTGGTCAAGTGAGAGACAAAAAAAGGCCAAAATGTTAACGAATCAAAGTATCCAGAATAAAAGATTCAATGTCTCAACGGAATTCCCAAAATAACAACTTTTACGGCTCAAGGAAGGAATTTTTAAGCGACAGTCTATGTAATAATTTCCCAGTTATCTCTAAATTATAATCAACGGATACAAACGGAGCATTCACCTTCACACGTAGCAGACTCAAGGTCCTTAAGCATTCCGGAAAGATTAGAGAAATTGGTCACGACGTGTTTCAGTTCCGGGCTTGTAGCGATCTCGAGAAGTTCTTTGTCATCAAGACGCTCTCCAATTCCGAGGACGATGATCTGCAAGTGCAAAGTTAGCAATATTCAACTATTTATTTTTATATTATAGTGGAGACAGTTGAAGCCGTGAAAAACAAATATTTGAAACAAGATATATTATAGAATCTTGCAATAATAAAACAAAAAACATTGAAATTTGCGTTTCTGCCCACGCAACACCTTCTTCCGCCACCACAGCGAGACAAAATGAAAGTGTCTTAGACAAAATGAAAGTGTCTTAGACAAAAGGAACGTGTCTTAGACAAAATGAAAGTGTCTTAGACAAAAGGACTTCGAGGTAAGGAAAAATCTGATATTTACTATTTCCAGATGCCCACACCAGTCCCTGCATTAAATAAACCCAAATTTTAAGCGCCCTTCTTTACCAGAGTTAGACGAGCAGAGCAGCCACCCACCTTCAGACCTGGACGTTTTTTCAACAGCGTTGTCTCCGCTCTTGTTGCCGCCTTAATGGTTGACTCTCCATCAGTTAGCAGTATGACCTGGTCAGGGACATCTGGACGGTCACCTCTTGCAGGGATCAGCACTTCATTCCTGGTCAGTGCAATGCCAAGGTCTGTTCTCGTTGCTCCAGCCCTGATGATAAAATATCGATGGACTTATTTTTACTTACAGGCTGTGGAGTTTCATGATTTATAAATACAGAGTCGGTGTAGTTCTGATTAGAACCACTGACTAGAATGCGCCCGGTGCAAAATCTTGCAGCAATCAGTGGTTTTCAAACTATTTTTTGTGATGGACCAGCACAAACTAATCCCTTTTTTTTCCAATCAGGACAGGTGCATCTTTTATTGATCATCGTTCTATTCAATAAAATTTGTCACCAGTTGCCATCTTACCGTGAGGGATGAGTACCATCTCGAGGACAACCACAATGAGAACAGTTGCGTTGCTAGGATTAATTACATCCAGGGTGGGCGTGGATTTTTTGCAACCCATTTCCATGAAAAAACCCGTCGGTAGTAGGACGAATATGCCGCACCCTAATGTAAAGAGAAACCGTGCATCCTTTGCGGACAGTGACCTAATCTTCACCCTCTTACGCCACTGATTGAGAAGCTACGATTTAAGCTTTTGTTGCTTACATTTGTCAAAATTATTCTACTCTCCCATGATTTTGAAGATCCATTGAAAGGTTCAACATTTTATTTACTCAAAATGTACACATAAAATATGAAAGAAATTCTTAATCGAAATTCTCCCGCATTTTCTGTTCAATAAGTCTCCACAAGGGCATTTGGAAAAAGCATTTGCTTTAAAAGGATTGCCAATTTAAAACTGAAAATTAATAATATTTTTAATTGGTAATAGATTCTTCTCATTAAAAATTATATTTAATACATTTAAAAAAACTAAACAAAAACAAACCAACAACTAAAACACCGAAATCATTTTTTGGCCAAGACCAAAAAGATCACTTTTATTGGTTATTAATGTCAATGATTTAGTCATGAACTTCAACTACTCAAGTTGAACGTATGAAAACATATACCACTTACTTGTACTTCATACTCCCTAGGGCGGCAGACTTCTCCAGTTGATTCATATCGTTACCGAGGTATGAAATCACTTGGGCAGTGGAGGAATATCTCACCAGGGCCACGCGAATACCCTCAGAGTGGACTGGCAACGGCTTGACGAGGTCCAGGATGAATTTGACGATTTTTGTAAAGTTGCCAGAGCCTACGCTTGCAGACGAATCCACAATGATGACCAGATCCAACTTTGCCATGTGACAGCCTGCAGGGATAAGAAATTACACATTACAATAAACACAAAAATAAACTCTCGACTGTAGAAATATTTCAAACTGCTGCACACGAACTCCGTTGAGCTTTACCTTAAAAAAAAAAAAAACTGCATCAATAAATATTTATATTACTAATGCTATATATTAAAACAAAATAATGCGTTCAAACAGAAATTTGACCCAAAATTAGATCATGTGAACTGAACAAGAATTCGACCCAATTTCCGTTCGATCAAATATCCGTCAATCAATTTTCCGTTGAAGAAATTTCTCACAAACAAATTTCCGGATACGGTTGGCGACAGATACATGCATCATTCCGCGTCAAATTTGCGGTATATCGGCCATACGGTAAACGTGTGGTTAAACTCAGTGGTGTAGCTAGAGTTGATGCCGCCATGGGCGGAACAAGCTTTTAGCCACCCCATTCCAGGAAAATAGCTCAGCCTCAAATGTCGCCCATCAATGTAAACAAAAAGAAAAAAAAATGAAAAGTAAAAAATTGCCACCCGAGCCGAAAGCCCTCCTGCAAAACCCCTTTCCTTGCCGTGGGATAAACTGGACCTATTTTAAGACTCTCCGGGAAAAGCATCAGGCGTATTACGGCAACTTTTGATGACGCAACTTATCTCATGAAAACTTTCATTTATATTTTGGATGCCATTTTCAAATCAAGAAATTCAAAGAAGAAAGCAGCAAAACAAATTATATCATAAAATTCCTAACTAGATCATAAAATTCCTAACTAGATCATAAAATTCCTAACTAGATCATAAAATTCCTAACTAGATCATAAAATTCCTAACTAGATTATAAAATTCCTAACTAGATCATAAAATTCCTAACTAGATTATAAAATTCCTAACTAGATCATAAAATTCCTAACTAGATCATAAAATTCCTAACTAGATCGTAAAATTCCTAACTAGATCATAAAATTCATTACTAGATCATGAAATGGTAAACACTTAAATTTAAAAGAAACAACAAATTTCTATTTATTGTCGTATTTTCATTTGTCATGTCTGCTTAAGAAGACTCTTAGCCGATACATTCCTCCCTTATTGCCCTGTCTTTAGATTCATGCATGCACATGTCTTCACCTGCTGCTTCCTTCACACCGCTTGAACGCAGTCCTTCATTTATCATCATAAAATTCATGTTGTCAATTTTCCTTTAAAAAAAAATAAATTAAGCACAATTTCCCCCAAAAATCATATGTACCAACTCGGGAGAGCCAAATTTTTTTATTTTACTCTGTTACAGTGGTAAAATGCTTGGTACAGTGCATGGTACAGTGCTTGGTACAGTGCTTGGTACAGTGCTTGGTACAGTGATTTTGACTCATGAGAACAGCCGTTCAAACAGTAAACGCTATTAATTTAAAAGACATACATTTGTTACAAGAAACCTTTCCCTTTCAGAAACCAAAAAAAAAAAAAAAAAAAGAAAGATTCATTTTACCGGAACGCGGCCCCGAACATGAACTCACGAAAAGTAATTTAATTTTGTGTGCATTCTAAATGTGGAAACATTATCTCTTCGAACTGTTGATTATAGTATTTCTCTCTTTGAATGACTGAATACTTTACTCTTTAATTCAATAGCCCAAGAAATACAGTTCTCTCTGTAGTTATTTGACCGAGGAGAGCAATTTAGATTGTCACGGTCATAAAATAACTGCATCAATTTATTGGCTACTTTATTATTATTAAAAAAACAACAACTACCAACAATCTCTATGTTTCCTTTTATTGTATCTTGCAATGCCTGTGTAGCCATAAGAACAGGTATTCCCTTGGCCACAACACACCCAACTTACCTTGAGTTGCGTTTTCAGAATCGCCAAGTCCAAGTGAACAGCATAACGTCACGAATGTGAACAGCGAGAGAAAACACATCTTTTTACTTTTCTTCTTCTTTTTTTTTGCTTTTTGCGTCAACAATAATTTTTCAATCAAAATAAATAATCGTACTCCGCCAAGCCACTAGGAACAGCGAGAAAATGGAACACACTTTTTTTCGAAAATGTATTTTTTGCAACTGAGAACTGTGACGTTTTTATAATTAGATCTATATATTTTTATCGCAAAAAATTTAATACTCAGAGTCTACCACATTAAGAGCTAACGAACATGTAGAGATTAAAAAAAAAAACAGCACCAATTACTTTAAATAATAAAAAAAAAAGCCAAACACTTTCTTGATAGAAACAAAGGAAATTATTCGCTGCTTGTATTCCTCACGGTCCAACCTGCGCTATCTTTGCCATATTTTCTCCCGTAATTGTGCACGTAAGGCTCCGTATCTCGCTCACACACGTCTGTCCGTCAACGAATCTTCCCGTCGGTCAGACCTGAGCTCTTCAGTGTTATATAACTGTAGTTTAATATATATATATATATATATATATATATATATTTTTTCTAATGTGTCTTTTCTAAGTGTCTGCAATTGGCAAGTGCTTATACAGGACAGCAACTTGAGGGGGAGTGCGTATGTGTGCGTGTATGTGGCGTATATGTGTCTATATACCGGTGCGTGCTCGCATAGAGTACAAAATCGCAACTTTGTGCTACCGCTGCTTACATGACCTGGCGCCGTCCTATCTGAAAGAGCTGCTGACGCCTTATGTACCCACTAGACAACTCCGCTCATCCGATAGTGGCAAACTCTCGACACCACGTGTTTGCCTTGAGACTTACGGAAAGCGCACTTTCGCATTTGCTGGTCCAACAATTTGGAACGCCCTTCCTGTCGATCTTAGAAACAACCAGACACTGGAGTCCTTTAAAACAGATCTAAAGACACATCTATTTCGCAAATACCTTCTGGGATGATTGTCTACCTTATTTTCCATGTGTTGCTGTGTTGCTCCGGGTTGAAATGGCTAGAAAGACTTTGATATTGTATGCTTGTAATTAGTTTTTGTAGTGTTGTGTTTGTTTTAAATGTGGCGAATTATAGATTTGTTTTTTGTTGACTTTGTACCGCGCTTCGAGCCTTTGGGGATGAAGCGTGTTTTTGAAATGAACTTTATTATTATTATTATATTCGTTACTTCGTCTGCCCTCGAGTATAAAAGGTAACTTACCAACATATTTTTTCAATAAACTGGTTGGGAAAAAAAATATATATGTGTAAAACTGTTCTCCTCCACCCCTCGTTTTTTTAAATTAAAGCAGTTTGTTCCAAACACACTTACGTTTTTTCTCATATGCCTATAAATTCTACACACTGTAGTAAGTTACAGTCTAGACACCAAACTGACTCATCGGTTGTCATGGAAACTATCTTAGCAGCATATGACCCACAACGTAAGAACAGAGTACCTATATATAGGGCAATAGACCAGAAAACGCACACACAGTTTAATACTCATTTGCTTTGAATAGAACCACATTTAACCCAGTAGTTGTGCGCGTCTTATAACGTAACTTGAATAACGTTCTAATAATTAAAAAAAATATTCATATATGTATATATATATATATTTAACAAATGAAGACCTATAAAAATAAGTTATTAAAAATAAATTGTACAATCTTCTTCTTCTTCTCCTTCTTCTTCTATATCTTAGGAGCCCACGATCAATTTAGTGATCATTTTGGCTCCTCACGGGTTTTTTCATAATTTTTGAACCTGCACGGCTAAACATTGTTTACACGTTTTCCTACCTCCATTCGCGTATCCTGAAATTTGCTTGAAAGAAATTTCGTCGACCGAAAATTGATCGACTGAAATTTGATCGAACGGAAATTTGGTCGAATTTTTTTTTTTTTTCAGTTCACACGATCTAATTTTGCGTCAATTTCTTTTTGAAAGCGTTATTTTGTTTTATTATATAGTTTGGTATATTTGTTTATTATGTAAAATTATCATTAAAGCTTAACTTATATGGTTATATTGACAAAAATTGTTCGTGTCTAATTAATAGATATGAATTAAACATGCCGCCGCCTGGTTGAATCTGTCACAAATTTGGCAGACGATAGAAACGCAAAGTGATATTTTGTTGTGCATGGGATGGAACATTTTCTGAGATGGACAAAATTAAACGTGTTTTCTTTTCAAAAGGATTTATTTGTTCTGGATTTAGAGGGTGCAGATTATAACTTTTTTTTTTATTAGTGAAAGATATTTGAAAATAAATTATTATTTGTATTCGAAAAACATTTGAATACATAAGACTGCTTCTTAATTGAAAGTTTAAACACATTTGGGAGCTTCAAGTTAAAAATGTTCAAAATATTTTTACAAAACTCGATTGCTTCTTAATAATTGAAGATGCCGATTTTTTCTTTTTATTTTTAAAATCTAGTTTTTTTTTTTTTTTAAAGGTGTGGCGCAAGAAGCTTGTCTACTAAAGGGTGCCAAATAATCTGACGCCCGCTCACCCCCCCACCTTTTTCCTTTTTCCAAACAACTGTAGATGTGATTTTTAAACATAATAACATATTTTTATATAATTTAAAGTTTAAACACATTTGGGAGCTTCAAGTTAAAAATGTTCAAAATATTTTTACAAAACTTGATTGCTTCTTAATAATTGAAGATGCCGATTTTTTCTTTTTATTTTTAAAATCTAGTTTTTTTTTTTTTTTAAAGGTGTGGCGCAAGAAGCTTGTCTACGAAAGGGTGCCAAATAATCTGACGCCCGCTCACCCCCCCACCTTTTTCCTTTTTCCAAACAACTGTAGATGTGATTTTTAAACATAATAACATATTTTTATCCGGTTCAAAGCCCTTTAAAAAAAATGTACAATCAGTTCTTTCTGGGAGCGCAACCCCAACATTGAAAAATCCCAGAAATAAAGAATGCAACAACAAAAAACCACAACAACACATATTTGGACTACGACGCGCAAGAGGGCACACTTACAATACTTCCGTGACAGTATCTTATGCGTTTTTTAAAATGAACCAACCCATGTTAACTTAAAGATAACAACATTCACCATCATCTCAACAATATGTTTAGGAACGAATATCCGACGGCTCGGCGGGTACTTACCGGTGGTACGACAACTGCATCCGGAGATTAAATTGTAAACCGTAAGTATGCACGTCAGGGATTCCCAACCTGTTCTGAATTTCCCACCGACAACGTATATTTTTTTTTACTAAGTCTCTGCAGCACGCCTATAACAGTAATGTTGCATTTTAATAATTTTAAAATGAAATGGGGCAAAAATTGATCACGCATTCGTCAAAATTGAATTACAAAGAGAAATGTTTTTTAAAATTTTCTTTTAAAAAAATATTTTTTTAAAGAGAAATGAAGAACTTAGAAAATAAACGTGTGACATATTAAGTAAAATGTTAATGAAGAAATTAATAAAACAATGTATAAAAAATATATATCATAATTGAGAAGTCAATGAATTCTCTGTTCTTATAATAATTTTTCCTGGCGTCCCTTGAAATGCCCGCTTGCACCCCGCGTGGATTGCGAGCACAACAGGTTTGGAAACCCTGAATTAAAGAACGCGGCCACATGTCTTTCTTTTCACTTTATTTTTAAGTTCGTTTCTTTAAGTGTCTGAAGTCGTCATTGCTGTACGCCATCTTGACCTCTTTTTGATGAATGATGAAATGTGTTAGGCAAGTGGGGGTGGGGATAGTGGTGATAAAGATAAGGTTAGGGGGGGGGGGAGCATATTTGGCATTGGCACCTTATTAACATATTTATATTTTTTCACAGTTTTATCTTTAAACGTAGTCACACTTTAGACAAAATAAATAATAAGAAAAACAACATTTTTTTAATCTTCCAGAAGGACACCTCAGTCAAATTGGTGTCCTTGTACGAGACACATTACAACTTTACGATAACTCACGACGTTAATGCCAACGAGTTATATCCGAATGGGTTTACCTGAATGGTTCGACGACAACACACACACACACACACACGCTCACAGTCGTATCGGTTGTAGGCGATGGAGTTGGCCTATTCAGGGCAGATTCCGGGCTTATTCCGGGCACATTCCGGGCATATTCCGGGCTTATTCTGGGAATATTCCGGGCTTATTCCGGGTGATATCATTACTTTATACTTTATAACCTTAAAAATATAGGTATGGAAGAGCGTGAACAAATAGTTGGTCATGTCATTGAAAACTGGGATGAGTTCTTTTTAAGGTCCAACGATGGTTATGGTAAAAAAATATGATGGTAACAATTCAGTGGTGTACCTTGACTAATTACCGCCCGCTACGAACCTCAGAAATGACGCTCCCTCATCCTCCCTTCTCGTGCAAATTGTATGTTTATTAGGCATACGTTTGGTGTTAATATGTGTCATTACTTAAAAATTAAACAGTTAATTATTTTACATATATGAACCAACTTATCAGCTTCTGCTCAAAGCAGTGCATCCCTACCATCCTTAAATTGATTACATAAACGCAGTAACAACTTTAGGATGGCCGTAATGAAAAAAAGAAAAAAAAAGAAGAAACTACTAAATGAATTTGAAGCGAAATGAACACTTGAATTCTTTGCATGTATGATTTTATTTTGTGTTGAAGCTTGAAGGAAACTTGAAAATGCCTCAGTCAAAGCTGGTCTTGATTTAAATGAACCGAAGACAAAATATATGATAATGTCAAGAAACTCCCATTGTGATGATAACATCAATATAAACAACGACCAATTTGAGAGAGTGGCTACATTCAAATATCTAGGGGCAACTATAAACGAGCACAATGAGATAGTATCGGACGTGAATTTTTTTCGGTTGCTGGAGACACTAAATGAAAGGAATAGAGCAATTATTTGTTGTTCATCCAATGCGTATCACCTACATCATCCTCAAAAAGGTTACGTTTTGAATGCGCATTTTAGAGTTTGGGACAATATACAAATACAAAACAACCAACCAAAAAAACAAAAAAACAAAACAAACAACAACAATGATATCACATGTTCAAATTGATTGTAAACAAAGTTGCTGGCAAGATTATGTACATAAAACAAATAGTTCCACCTATCTTTTCGAAGTGCTGATAAAATAAGAAAAAAACAACAAATTGTAGCGCTTCAATAAGATAGCAGGCTAAAGAGCGCTGGACACATTACTTTCCCTCGCCATCCGGACAAGTGAAGATTTCAGACGTCACCATGTCACTGGCGGAGTGGTTGACGCCGTCCGGTCCCCTCTCGTGTGAGCAAGTGGACTTACTTACCATTACCTCGCCCACTTAACACTCGTCCCCACACCGAGTCTTGTCACAGGATCTTACAACAGCGGAGAACAAGCCACGGTCAATGGCATGCGGTCAGTATTAAGAGTTGACTGGGGGCATTTTGAAAATATGCCCGAGGGTGGGGGGGGGTGGAGGAGGCCGGGAGTAGAATGAAATAATTTAAAATACATGTTTCAAAGTTATACATTTAAAACGACAACCTATTAGGTTAACTGCTGTGTAAGAGCC